AAACATGCTGAGTCCTGCAAGAGGACATGCTGAGAAACATGCAAGCGGACATACCACGAGTCCTACAAGGGCACTTGTGAATCCTGCAAGGGAACTTATTGTGAGACCTGAAGTGGGATCTGCTGCTAGTCCTGCAAGGAGACATGCCTTGAGTCGTGCAAGAAGCCATACTGTGAACCCTGTGAAAGGACATGCTGAGAGAAATACAAGAGGATACATCATGAGTTCTACTAGAAGACTTGTTGCAAGTCCTGCAAGAGGCCATGTTCTGAGTCCTGCAAGAAGACCTGCTGTGAATCCTGCAAGAGGATATGCTGAGAAACATGCTAGGGGATATTCTGTGAGCCTTACAAGAAGATATGCTGTGAGTCCTGCAAGAGGTTTTGCTGAGAGACAAGCAAGGCGACGTGTTGTGAGTCTTTCAAGGAGATATTCAGTGACTCCTGCACATGGACTGGCTCTGGGACAAGAAGGGAGAGCTACAATGGATCCTGAAAGCAGACCTACTATGAGACCTGCCGGGGAACTTGTTCTAGGAGCTGCAGTAGAATTTACTGTGAAACCAGCAGAAGGATATGCTGAGGAAATTTCTGGGAGATCTGCAGAGCCATCTACCAGGTAAGATATTTTTCATGTACCATTTCATATAACAGGCCCAATATGCATTATTTCTTTCAAATAAGATTGCATTTTCACATACAAAACTTGTCACTAAGTGTAAGTCAAAAGACATCATTGTGACATCATATTAAAGAAGTGAAAGAAAAGACTTATGTCTTGTGATTTTTACAGACTCCCATCTTAGTAAAAAAAAAAAAAGAACAGTTAAAAAAAGACTGCTTTACATTCATCCCCATCTTTCCTCAATTTGGGGGGAAAATGAAGAGAAAAAAAATACTATGTTAGAAATTTCTAAAAACTGACCTAACTTTTGAGAAATGATAAAGCCATTTTCCAGAAAGAGAGTCATTATTTCAATATATCTTCCCCAGAAAAACACCAAATATGAAAAATATTTTTTTATTATTTATAATAATTAGGAGGCAACAAAGTTCATAGATAAAATGATAAAATTATAGAAGAGACTGTACAGACCATCCAAGTGACAATGTTGAGTTACCCTCTAGGCTATTTCCCACTTTGGCAGTATAAAAAAAGTTTCAGGGGTCACCAAAAATATCAGAAGTCTTTAAAGTTTTCATTTCTTTTCCTCTATATAATGATATTCCATATATAGCAATTCACTAAATCATAAAGTATTGATTAGTTGTATGGAAACACAAAAGACCCCAAATCGCCAAACAATCTTGAGAAAGAAAAATGGAGCTGGAAGAATCAGGCTCCCTGACTTCACACTGTAATACAAAGCTACAGTAATCAAGACACTATGGTACTGGCACAAAAACAGAAATATAGATCAATGGAACAGGATAGAAAGCCCAGAGATGAACCCACGCACATATGGTCACCTAATCTATGAAAGAGGAGGCAAGAATATACAATGAAGAAAAGACAGCCACTTCAATAAGTGGTGTTGGGAAAACTGGACAGCTATATGTAAAAGAATGAAATTAGAAAACTCCCTAACACCACACACGAAACTAAACTCAAAATGGATTAAAGATGTAAATGTAAGACCAGACACGATACAACTCTTCCAGGAAAGCATAGGCAGAACACTCTTTGATATAAATTGCAGCAAGATCTTTTTTGATCCACCTCCTAGAGTAATGAAAATAAAAACAAAAATAAACTAATGGAATCTAATTAAACTTAAAAGCTTTTGCACAGCAAAGGAAACCATAAACAAAACAAAAATACAGGGGAGGAACCAAAATGGCAGAGTAGAAGGATGTGCTCTCACTCCCTCTTATGAGAACACCAGAATCACAACTAGCTGCTGGACAATCATTGACAGGAAGACACTGGAACTCACCAAAAGAGATACCCCACATCCAAAGACAAAGAAGAAGCCACAATTAGATGGTAGGAGGGGCACAATCACAATAAAATCAATTCCCATAACTGATGGGTGGGTGACTCACAGACTGGAGAACACTTATACCACAGAAGTCCACCCACACAGTGAAGGTTCTGAGCCCCACATCAGGCTTCCCAACCTGGGGGTCCGGCAATAGGAGGAGGAATTCCTAGAGAACCAGACTTTGAAGCCTAGTGGGAATTGATTGCAGGACTTCCACAGGACTGGGGGAAACAGACACCCCACTCTTGGGGACACACACAAAGTAGTGTGCACATCATGACTCAGAGGAAGGAGCAGTGATCCCAGGGCAGACTGAACCAGACCTACCTGCTGGTGTTGGAGGGTCTCCTACAGAGGCAGGGGGTGGTTGTGGCTCACCGTGGGGAAGGGGACACTGGCAGCTGAGGTTCTGGGGGCTGCTCTTTGGCGGGAGCCCACCCAGAGTCTGACATTGGCCCCACCAAGGAGCCCAGGTGGGCTCCAGTGTTGGGTTGCCTCAGGCCAAACAACCAACAGGGAGGGAACCCAGCCCCACCCATCAACAGTCAAGCAGATTAAAGTTTTACTGAGCTCTGCCCAGCAAAGCAACAGTCAGCTCTACCCACAACCAGTCCCTCCCATCAGGAAATTTACACAAACCTCTTATATAGCCTCATCCACCAGAGAGCAGATAGCAGAAACAAGAACTACAATCCTGCAGCCTGTGGAAGAAAAACCACATTCACAGAAAGATAGACACAATGAAAAGGCAGAGGGCTATGTACCAGATGAAGGAACAAGATAAAACCCCAGAAAAACAACTAAATGAAGTGGAGATAGGCAACCTTCCAGAAAACGAATTCAGAATAATGATAGTGAAGATGATCCAGGACCTCGGAAAAAGAATGGAGGCAAAGATCAAGAAGATGCAAGAAATGTTTAACAAAGAATTTGGAAGTTACAGAAAAATATAGGAGAAAAATAAAAATTGTTATCTTCCATCTGGAAATAATGTCTTAATATTTCTAGTATATTTCCTTTCTGTGTATGCTTAGATATGCCTTTATATTTAGAAATTTGAGATTATAACATACATTCTGACTTACCTGACTTATCTGTTTTTTCTTACATTGTAATATCTTCATAAGTCTCTGGTACCAGAACAAAAAGAAAAAAAAAAAAAAAAGAACAAACAAACAGAGATGAACAATACAATAACTGAAATTAAAACTGTACTAGAAGGAATCAATAGCAGAATAACTGAGGCAGAAGAATGGATAAGTGACCTGGAAGACAGAATGGTGGAATTCACTGCTGTGGAACAGAATAAGGAAAAAAGAATGAAAAGAAATGAAGACAGCCTAAGTGATCTCTGGGACAATATTAAATGCAACAACATTCGCATTATACGGGTCCCAGAAGGAAAAGAGAGAGAGAAAGGACCAGAGAAAATTTTTGAAGAGATTATAGTTAAAAAGTTCCCTAACATGGGAAAGGAAATAGCCACCCAAGTCCAGTAAGTGCAGCGAGTCCCAACAAGGATAAACCCAAGGAGAAACACACCGAGACACATAGTCATCAAATTGGCAAAAATTAAAGACAAAGAAAAATTATTGAAAGCAGCAAGGGGAAAATGACAAATAACATAAAGGGAACTCCCATAAGGTTAACAGCTGATTTCTCAGCAGAAACTCTACCAGCCAGAAGGGAGTGGCATGAAATACTTAAAGTGATGAAAGGGAAAAACTTACAACCAAGATTGCCCTACCCGGCAAGGATGAATTATATTTGATGGAGAAATCAAAAGCTTTACAGACAAGCAAAAGCTAAGAGGTTCAGCACCACCAAACCATATCTACAACAAATGCTAAAGGAACTTCTCTAAGTGGGAAACACAAGAGAAGAAAATGACCTACAAAACCAAGCCCAAAACAATTAAGAAAATCATCATACGAGCATCCATATTGCTAATTACCTTAAACGTAAATGGATTAAATGCTCCAACCAAAAGATACAGGCTTGCTGAATGGATACAGAAAGAAGACCTATATATATGTTGTCTACAACAGACCCACTTCAGACCTAGGGACACATACAGACTGAAAGTGAAGGGATGGAAAAAGATATTCCATACAAATGGAAATCAAAAGAAAGCTGGAGTAGAAATACTCATAACAGATAAAATAGACTTTAAAATAAAGAATGTTACAAGAGACAAGGAAGGACATTACAAAATGATCAAGGGATCAATCCAAGAAGAATATATAACAATTATAAATATATATGCACCCAACATAGGACCACCTGAATCCATAAGGCAACTGGTAACAGCTATAAAACAGGAAATCAACAGTAACAAAATAATAGTGGGGGATTTTAACACTTCACTTACACCAATTGACAGATGATACAAAATGAAAACAAATAAGACAAAAGAAGCTTTAATTGACACAAGACACCAGATAGATTTAATTTATATTTATAGGACATTCCATCCAAAAACAGCAGATTACACTTTCTTCTCAAGTGTGCATGGAACATTCTCCAGTATAGATCATATCTTGAGTCACAAATCAAGCCTTGGAAAATTTAAGAAAATTAAAATTCTATCAAGTACTTTTCTGACAACAATGGTATGAGATTAGAAATAAGTCACAGGGATAAAAAACACATACACATGGAGGAGAAACAATACACTACTTAATCACCAAGTGATCACTGAAGAAATCAAAGTGGAAATCAAAAAATACCAAGAGACAAATAACAATGAAAACATGGCGATCCAAAACCTATGGGATGCAGCAAAAGCAGTTCTAAGAGGGAACTTTATAGGTATACAAGCCTACCTCAAAAAACAAGAAAAATCTCAAATAAACAATCTAACCTTACACCTAA